CTCTTCTCGGTACTTCGTATTTTATTATGGTTAAATGATAGGTTTCCTGTATATTAAAACACACACAACACAAGGCCATCCTTTAACATTTATAGCGCTTTCATAGAAATGCATATATAAAATGCGTGAAAGTATTCAGTCATATCACTGTCACGTAAGCTGTCATAATTGCGTTTGTTTATTAAATATCCTTTTTAGTATAAAATGCTGAATATAGATGATAAAAAGAACGGAAATTTATATCGTATAGTTTTACATGGTAATTATAACTTTTAATTTTAACTTTTTAATATTGTGCGCACTAGAAAAAATGGTTGCAATTAATATAATCTAACTATAATTTATAGTCATTTTCGATGCCAAGAATGTACTTTTTTGTAGAACTAAATTTCTCTCAGTTTTGAAAAAAATAAAGGTAAAAGAATGATACATAGACAATAAAATCAATTTTATTAAGTAATAGATAATCAATTTTTAGAGTAAGAAGCACATGAAAACATGTTGGTTTTTATCAAAAAAGGTTTTAATGAAGAAGAGCTTTATTCGTATTGTCGCCAAAGTACATAAGTAGGAGAATTTTCTTTGTAACGAGTGCTTATTCAGTTGGACATACATGATAAGAAACCGCAAGAAACAGATATCGATATTTGTACCGCAAAGTCGCTAACGTCATATTATCACATATTTTAATTTGTTATTTCAAACGCCCTTTTACAAAATCATAATAAAAAATTAACTGTATTTATTCCGTCGGTTTGTACAACTTGATAATCGTGTGACTTTCCCCACCGCATAACTCACGATTTTACTGTTGCACTTTACGATCGGTTTGCGTTCTTCGACAGATAACGATATTCCGAGAAGCGTGCAAAAGTGCAAAAGTGCTTATCAAACATATTTCATCGTTATTGATCTTCTTAACACCACACTGAGTGAGAAAAACATATTTTTTTGACAATGCATCAAATTCTAATGAATAAAAGTCCAACAGTATTCTGCTTTTCGTGATTCATAACTTCTCTTTATTTTGTTATCTACAAAGGCCTGAAAATAGCTTTATTATCTTTTTTTCTAATTAGTTTACCAATTAGCTTAATTTATGCAAAATTTTAACTCTTTGTTGCATAGTGTGCTTTTAGAAGGCATATCTTTCTCACCGCAGTTTTTGTATATTTTTACATATTTGATAATTGATTTATATTACGTATTTGGTATCGTTATGTTCGTAAAACTTGTGTATATCCGTGAATAACAAAAATACGTAATTATTTTGTGGTAGATATAAGTTAGAAATAAAAGATTAGAGTCAAAATTAGTACTCTTTTTATAAAAAATTCATGCTGAGATAAAAATGATAATAAATGAGGGGCAAACTTCTAAAATACCTATATTTTGTCCAAAATTGCATTTGTTGAGTTAAAGATGGCATAGTGTTCAGTGTGTTGAAAGATTCATATTTTAAACTACTCTACGATATTCTGAAAGCATTTCTACACAATCAATTTATGTGCTGAAAAAAATCTTGACATTTGAAGTGTATTATATCCTTTAACTGGAGACAAACAAAATACTTGTTTAATATTTTTAACAACTATTTAGCAATTTTGTTGAACATATCTTACTGATTAGCAAATTGTTTTTTTCTGTGAGTCACGCAATTTTCTTGTGGCTTTCTTCCCCATTTCTTAAAAATTACAAATTTTGAACAAAACGCATTTTGAAAGTCTGCTTCTCAAATATATTTTTAAAATCTCTCTTGATGTTTTTGAAATCGCTGATTTTAAATCTACACTCATAATTGGCAAATTTTCATAAATGGCAGATCCAAAATGGCGGTCAAAATAACTATTAAGACATTGAATGGTGATATTAATAAAACATAAATTCTTAAAATTCTTAACATTTTATATATTTAATATTCTTTAATATTCTTTATAATTTTTTAATATTTTTATATATAAAAGTTTACACGTAAATAAGTCATAGTTAATTTAATTTAGCTGCCATATTGAATATATCATTTTGATTTTTAAAATTTTGATTTAAGATTTGTAATCAGCAGCCTCCAAAAACTCCTATATGTATACTAAAATTCAGCTAAATACAATAGAAAAATAGAAAAATTGTTCAACAAAGGGTTAAGCAAAATAAATTGTATACCGTAATATAGAACATGAAAATAAAAACTTATTGTTTTATTACTCATTCGGGAGATATTCAAGTTGAGCACCTGGATTTCTGAGGTTCTGTCTCCAGCGAATTCTCTCCATAGCATTAGATGTTGAATTGTAAAAAGTCTCGTCGTGATAAAGATAATCCCCATTATTTAGATCTGTAGTAACATTCCTGTACGGCACTCCGTTTGGTGTATAACCAGATTTGGCTATCTTTATCATAGTAACACCATTTACAGAATTGATTATGACGTTGTTGCCAGTTGTTATTAAATGTCCTTGTCCATCTGCACAAAAAATATCCGTTGCGTACGTTTTATTTTCTCTTTCCTTTACGTTTGCTTTGCGTTGATTATACAATCAGCACATGTCATCAATCAATATGTAATCGTTGGAAGAAATTTGATATTTTATTTAGGAAAAAGAGAAACTATTTTAAACAAATTGTAATTTAGTTAATTGTCAGCAGCAGTGTGATATTACAGTAGAATTTTGTTTGAACCAGCAGTGCAACTTTATGACACCCTGTACAATATCGGACTAATTGCTTTTAAATTACAATGTCATCAATTGTCGGACCGATCGATTTCAAGCGGGTATTATGGCGATTAAATTTTTATCGATATTAATCGCTGATAACGCTATTTGATTCGATACGTTCATAGCTACGTGCTAATTGCATAGATAAATGTTGCGCGAAATTAAGCATCAGTAACGAATTAACGGGTCGAATGAATGGAAAAAGAATACTGACCGCCTTGAGACTTAATAGAGAATGCTAGTGTCTGCTCTGTATCACGGCCGATAGTGAAAGGAACGTCGACTACGCGGCGAACGAGATGCGATTTTGGAATCTTCGTTTCTCTATCTTTTGTAACGATAAAGAATATCGCTAAGCGCAAACTATCATGCAAACGTATCAAGATCTCTCTCTTCCACGTGAGTGCGAGGGGAAATTTAAGAAACTGTATATTTACGTATTATATTTGGATATCGATACTCCACAATTTTCCGAACACAAAATGAAAGAAAATAACTACATTCGAATCGCAAATATTGATTCAGATGCTTGAAAAAAATATTGGATAAAATTATATTGAATGATGTTAAATTAAGCTAAAAAATATCAATGGTAAAGGAAGTATAAATATAAAATGAAAAATTCTATTAAGTTTTATGATGCACTTCGGTATATGCATAAATATATTGCTATGATTTCTATTATACCCTTTAGATTTATTAGTTGTATAAAAAATATATATTATATATAACTAATGCAAAGATTTTTATAATGCAAAGGTGTTTATTTAAAAAAATTTTTTGAACTTTTTGATTATTTATTTAAATTAAATAAAAATTGAATTATGCTATTAAGTGTATGACACACTGTTCAGTTTTTATTACATATTGATGCAGTTCTTAAATCAAATAAACATCAATAGATATTGTAAAATATTTTGTGATTAATTACCTCTTGGTAGATCCTCTATTGTTTTGTGGACTTGCGCAAGCGTTTGTTGCACTGAATTCTCTATTTGCGTATTCAAATTCTCTATATTCTTATTCACATCTATGAGTCTATGACGCACGTCTTCATTGATATTTGCTACTAAATCGTCCACCCAATTAGGGGCAGCTACCCCCAGATAAGCACTGTAAAATAAAAAAATTGTATTAAGAACTGTCGGGAACCAATGATAAATTATACTCTTCGTTTGTTTGCCTAGACACGTATTCGCAATTGTGGCAAACTATAGTTCGCGCATTTGTAAAATACGATGACTCATATGCGCTGACCATGAATAAATACGTACATAAAGATAAAATAAAATAATTAAATTCTGTTCTCATTTGCGCGGACACTAAACACTCAGCGCATTCAGGAAATAGTTTGTCGATTCATAATTGTGGTTGAAAACTGAATCCAGACCAAGCAAATAAATATACGAACAATTCATTTCAATGAACGTATGTCTCAAGATATAAGTTGTTCGTTCGTATTTACTCGCGCTTGTTTCATCAGTCTGGATTCTACTTAATTTACAAGATCTCGAGACAGACATCAGTCTCGATGCACAGCCGGCTGTTTTCCGAAATTCATTGTCAATGTTGAAAAATTGTAGTGCACGTAACGTATAGATTTTCAGCGCTGGCAGTAAATTTGGAACACAGTCTTTTTGTTGAATGGCTGGTAAGAAATAATTGGCTATCTTCATCGAGAAGAACTGACCTGGCCAACAATGAAATAATCAATATGACGTGACAAACTTTCCTGGCCATTTTCGTCCAAGATACTCTGGATCTCCACGGGTTGGTAGACAAACTAGATGGGAAAGTGGAGCTCTTTCCTCCGTATAAATGCGTAAAGCAGATCCGGTTAGATCACGTCGTACACAAGCAGATATCGTTTTATTTCGCGTGCACTGGCGATCGGCAATATTGCACCTAGCGCTGCTAACGTTCTGTCACGCCACGTCATTTCTCTGCACTTATATACACAGGCAGACATTCCCGGGTTATCGAAGCTATGACTATACGCACGTGACCGTGTACGTGTTCACACGTCGTATTATACTCGACAACCGAAGAAACACACGCGAAGTAGGAGAAAGAGAATCCTTGCAGACAGAATTGTTGGATAACGTCATAAATGAGATGTTGCTGATAGTAGAGAAATCATAAGAAATAAAAGAAAGCCGTTAAAGTAATACTAATAGTGACATGAACTAAAGAATAAAAAGTTCTGATTTAATAATTTATTAAAAAATTAAAAATAATATTTAAAATTTATACGTACATATCACCTTGATCAAAAAGTTCCCGGAATTACCACCAGGTGATGCTCTGAGTCAATTGATTTGAGTTCTGTTTTTTTTATTAGGTTGCCACATCTATCATTGACATTTCCACCAAATTTTATCGCCATAGCTTGACATTTGTAAAAGTTACGCCGTCTTGAGTACATCTACCTCTGCACGGTTTTCGATTTTTTACAGTTTTAAAAATGGAGTTGAATTTGCAACATCTGTGAATTTTTGACCAAGAACGAAACGAATACCATCCAACAATCATCGAATTCATCCAATATGCGATTTTTTCTGTTCGATCGAGTCAAAAAACCACGGATGTTGCAAATTCAACTCCATTTTTAAAACTGTAAAAAATCGAAAACCGTGCAGAGATAGATGTACTTAAGATGGCGTAACTTTTACAAATGTCAAGCTATGGCGATAAAATTTGGTGGAAATGTCAATGATAGATGTGGCAACCTAATCAAAAAAACAGAACTCAAATCAGCTGACTCAGAGCCTGGTGGTAATTCCGGGAACTTTTTGATCAAGGTGGTATTATTCTTATTTCTGCCAAATTCTATTTTAATATTGTGCACATTAATAACATTATATGTTAAGCCTTTATTATTCTGGTAGGATATCTAGGCCCCTTATAAATTCGCTAGAACTATGAATGCTGCTTATACATATTGTTATATTTAGTAGAAATTATTTCACAATTAAAAAAAATACTTTTGCTTTTTTCTTCAACTAAAGTATGTATAGAATATTATCTCAATTTTTATTTAATTATAAATCATCAAAGTAAACTATACAAATTAAGACATAATTTTGTTTAATATACTATGAATGTAGTGTAAAAGCAGGGATTATGGAATAGGCTACTAATATGGAATAATAGCTACGTTTACACCGTGCGCTTAGTCCACGACCTATACGATAGGTGTCTTTGTTTAACCTACAGGATAAACAAGGACATCTATTGTATAGGCCGCGACCTAAATGCACGGTGTAAATGTAGCCTATGGCTTATTTTTTAAACAAAGCATTGCATGGCGCACGACGTGACGCGACAGAACGTTAGCAGCGCTAGGTGCAATCGCTAAAAGTTGTTGCAACTGTTATCAAATATGTAATCATAAGCAATAGACTCAGTCCGACTAAACGTTTTGTCACAATTAACATTTATTCATTTTCGTTACGTCAGAAGATCCGGCAGCTTTTCTAAAAAGTGTTCTTACAAACTGAAAGTAAGTTTTTTTAATGCTTATATTACATAGACGCTTTTAATAATGTTGCATGAACAATATTATGCAGATTAATTGCTATCAAACTTGTTTATTGCTACGGAAAGACTTTGTTTATCATATGACAACATGCAGGTAATGTGAAATACATTGAGGGTTGAGAAAATAACTTTTTGATTCTTGTTGTGAATAATGTTTATTTTAGATGCTAATATTGTACGTTATAATTTAATGATTCAAGATTTAATTTTATTCTTTATTGTTCATGCGTAATAACGTTCAATGATGCTATTATATTTTCTGTGTTATTGTACAATAAAAATGTAAAGAGTTTTCTATTTTTCTTGATCAGTTTACATAAATAAACAAATTTAGACTTCATTTATTGTGTTATTTATTACTATGATCAAAATTTCATCAATATTTTATATTACATCCCATTTTTTAGACCCTATTATTTTCTCACTTTTTACTTTTTTGTTAATATTGACGTTGGACTTAAATTTTGGCGACTTTCATTTATTGGATGTTGTAGCTAACATATTCCTCAAAAGTTCTGTGTAAATTTAAAGTCTTCATATGCATTTATATCAGAGCAATGTTAATTTAAAAAACGCTATTCCATAATCTCTGCTTTTATAGATATAATGACTGCCGAAAGTTCCTGATTCATATCTAACTTTATGATGATTTTCACGCAAGTAATTACGTAAAAAAAATTATGCGAGTAATGTAGAATTAATACGAAGTACAACGTACTACATACGATGTGTAGTTTTTTATATGATAAATGTGTATTAATATATGCTTTTGAAATATGAAATATTTTATATTTTGCATATTAATATATTGTATATAATAAGTGCGTGATACTATTTTTAAGTTAAGTGACATCGTTCTTCCATTAGAGAGCACAACAATGACGTTCATTTTTTTTAGAGAGTAATAAATCAACCTGACCAAAACTCCTTATAAATCAGAAAACAAGGAAAGAACAAGGGCAATAGGAGTCAAGCGCGGGAGACGTTGCGCAAATAACACGACTATCGTAGCGTAAAACTTCTTTATTTTACTAAAGCGCTTACATGTTTCGATTCATTTTTGAGCCTTCTTCAAAGACAACTAATAAACTCACATATATAGAATATAACAATTATTAACTAGTCATGGTGATCTTCCCCACCTCGAGAGTATAAATGCCAGAATTAAATCCAGATAAGAATGCAATGAAGGAAAAAGGAAAGAAATTTTGAAAATCTCGAAATAAAACAAATGTAAAACTAATGTATCAAAAAGTTTTTGAAATTATAATTAATTATTCCGAAAGTTAGGAAGCTCACCCTGATCACAAGATACCGCATCGCAAACATTACTCTTAATAATTCAAAAACCGGTTTCTGATAAGTTGGCCAGTCAGACACAGTTAGTCTCTTTTTGATTTAGTTGGTCTTTATTGAGACAGTAATTAGAAAACTAGTTAAAAAATTAATCCAAATAAAAAAAAAAATTTTGAAAATGATCTAAAGTCAACGCCCGATAGACTTCTTCCTGTGTACGAGCGACATTGACTATTTCTTTCCTTTTTTCTTCATTGCATTCTTATCTGGATTTAATTCTGGCATTTATACTCTCGAGGTGGGGAAGATCACCATGACTAGTTAATAATTGTTATATTCTACATATATGTGAGTTTATTAGTTGTCTCTGAAGAAGGCTCAAAAATGAGCCGAAACATGTAAGCGCTTTAGTAAAATAAAGAAGTTTTACGCTACGATAGTCGTGTTATTTGCGCAACACTCCCGCGCTTGACTCCTATTGCCCTTGTTCTTTCCTTGTTTTCTTTTTTAGAGAGTTTTTTAATCGTTCCGATCCGCCGCATCGATCATCTTTCCGATCAGACACGGACGCTAAAAGGATAACGCGAGGTGTCGAGTCGAGATAAATTGTGTGTATCAAATTTCTCCCAAATTTTGCGGCCCTCGGCGACCGCAGCGCGGAAGACCGAGATGCGTCGGTGAGATTTATCGCGATGCCTTTTTGGACCACTGTAATTTTGCAAGATGATCGCCAACGTAACCGCTTGATATATCGAGCTCTCGTTACACTTCTCGCCACGAGAAGAATAACTTTTCCTCGATGGCAGTCAACAAATCACACGTGAGCACGTATCTCATGCGCGTTGCAGGATTACGTGGCCGTCCGACATATCAATATAAGCTTGAATTAAAGATTTAAAGCGATATAAAATGATATATGTGAACAAAGTGATGTAAGATGAACACCTAATGAAAATTAAAATCTTCGGGAATTATTTAATTAATGAAATTTTAAATGTTCTTTATCAAAAACTTAAACAGTTTCATTTTTCTGTATTTTTTTAAACAAAAATAAATTTTTTTAAATTAAACATTTAATTTAACAATTTTATTTTAAATAAAGTAATTGAACAATTGTTTAAATTTTTATTGTAAAAAAGAATTGAATACTTAATGTATAATAATTTGCCATTAATGATGTGGCTATCAAAAGTTTTTGACTAATGATTAACTTATTGTTTTGTTTACAAGGATAAGATACAATGGATTCGTCATAGATTTTGATCTCCTTTAACATGGTGAATAAAAATCATAATAAAATTATAGGTATATCGGAACGACATATTTAATGTCGTTCAGAAACTTTGATAATGGTGGAACAAAAATCTGTTGGAGCATGATCGTAGAAGTAAAGAGAATGATTCAAAATGATAATGCAACGCTGACTCAAGAATTACACGTTTTAAATCAGAATCTCATGTAGGACACAGAGTCATAACTAAGTCATAATGATATCATTAAAGACGATATCATGACGTCATTTGATATTTAAAAATTAATTTAAAAATAAATTTATAACTAATAAGATCATGATGATGCTCTTATGATATTATTATGACTTCTGTGTGACAAGACGATATCTAAAGATGGCTTTTCATAAAGTTTTCGCAAGCTATGAACGCCAAAAGTGTATTGTCTCTAGGAATTACTTTAAAAAATAATAAAAGGTCATTTGTATATTAATTAAGTGGTATTTATTTTCTCATTATATTTACCAAACTTTATTGTCACATCACGAACACTGTAAAAAAATAAAATGTTAATTTTAACTTAAAAGACGTACAGTGGACTTTCCGAGACATTAAAAAATGTTAAAATTAATGTGTTAATATATTAATGTTCTATTTATTTCGAGTAAAATTTTCTTTAGAGGAGGCATTTTAGAATGTAACCTTAAAGTATGAGTCGAAGCAATAGGGAATTTGTAAATTTATAATTGCTTTTCGTTATATTAAAACTTAGATAATTCTCATTTCATTTGTGATGTCATGTGCACATAACTCGGTTGAATGCACGTTCCTTTTCATTCTGACAAATGAGATTCAACTAAGTTTTTATTAAAGATATAAAGAATGGACTGTGCGATCCGTACCTAAAGTAATATTCAAATGTGGTATGCGACAATAATGACAGAGAGGGACCGTGAAAGACGGCCAATTTCTCTCTCATTCTCTCTCCTATTACACCGTTGAATGGAAAGAGATAGAGACAGCTGTCTTCCACGGTCCCTCTCTCTTATTTTTATCGACCATTTTGACACACGAATTACGCAGTCCATTCTCAATGGCTACGTTTACACCGTGCATTCCCAAGTAGAACACAGAAGTCATGAGGACATAAACATGATCTCATTCGTCACTTATACGAGGGGCACTACTTATATTTTGAGCCTTGGCAACACTGATTGTGAGTGTTGTCAGGTGCCATCTGACGTTTCCACTAGAAAGTTTGACATTTTTGACCATAACCTTCTTCAGAACGTTTTATTATTTGAGCGCGATTTGTATTGTTTACAGTCACTTGAAAATTGTGTCTCAGCGAAAAAATGGAATTAACTCGTGTGAAAATTTTCGTGCAATGATTTATTACGACTTTCGACGTGGATTATCAAGACAGGAGTGCATCGACTTACTTCCACTTTTGACGATAAAGCCCCATCCTTTGCCACTGTGAAACGCTGGTATAACGAATTTAATCGTGGTCGCCGTTCGCTCACCGACGAAAGTCGTGAAGATCATCCAAAATCAGTTGTGTCAGAAAACATTGATGCTGTGCAAAAACTAATAATGCAAGATCGTCATGTGACATACTGTGAGATTGAGACAACCTTAGGCATTAGTTCCACCAGCATATATAAAATATTGCATGATCATTTAGCCGTGAAAAAGGTTTGTTCTCGTTGGATCCCA